GTGACTATGGTCGTTCCCCAAGGTGGTGCTGTGAGGGGTGTGGATGGAGTGGGGACACAGAAGGAGAGGGCCCGCTGCAGCGTGGCATTCAGTCACTCAGTCCTTAGTAACATTTGATGGCTGGTGAAGGTGGCATCATCATCCAGGAGTTCTGTATGTAAGAGCAAGGCCCAGTTTTTCCCCTGTGCCTGCAGAGCTCTTGTTCACACTTGCCCTGGAACTCATCTGCGATCCACTCTTCTAACCCCTCCCAGCTCATGACTCCAAAACAGTGACTTTCTTTTTTAATGTCCTTTTCTCTTGTTTCACCACTGTTCTTCAGCTCCTTCTATCATTCCATCTGGAACAAACCACCAAGCCTTCTTATCATTTCCCAAAGCACTCCCCAACCCCTAAATCCGTGATATGAAGCCTCTTGCCTCTCCCAAATTCACACTGGCATCCAGATCCCTTTAGAATGTGGTATTTTTGAAAACAGGGTATTGGAAGGCAGCATGACCCTTCAGGGCCAGAACAAAGATCTCCCCATGCCCCCCCAAAGGCTTCCAGACCCTAACACTCACAGAGATGATGTGTCCCTTGAGGCCATGGGCAGAGTCAGCACACTCTATGACGGCACTCAGCTGAGGATAGCCCACTCCTGTCTTGGTCCGGGTGGTGCACACGGAACCTGTGCAGAGGGAGAGGCAGATTCAGGGAGGGTTCCGAATAAGTAGAACACGACAGAAAACGATACCCCTTCAGCATCATATGGCCCTGCCCAGTGCCGGGGTGTCTCTTCCTCAACAGTGGATGTATGCTGACTGGTCAGACACACAGTGCCGCACAGAGGCACTCGGATACACTACCCCACTGGCCACGTGTGCCCCTCAAGTCCTCACCGTCGTCATCAGCAAATGTCCTAGCCATCACCTCCTACTCAGCCGTCACTGGCCCTCTTGATGCAACGTCTAACCCCCTGTGATGATTGAGCACAGGCTCCAGCTTCCTCCCCCTCCTCCATCCACTCTTCTACATCCTCAGACTCCACTTCCAGGGGCCACTTGGAATCCTCTGAGCCTTCTCCTAGCTTCTTCCCCTTTTCCTTCTGTGAAGCTACGAACCTCTCCACACCCCACTGCTCAGCCTAGGGGACTGAAAACCCAGCACTCACCTAGAGTGGTTGTAATGGAACGAATTTGCATTAGGGGGAAGGGCTTGCCCCGAGACTTGACCCAACAAGCCCTTGGGATGAGAAAGGTCTTATGCAACTGTGTACCAATTATTCAACCTCTGCTTCCATCTTTCTTACTTTCATGCTGTACCTTCATCTCATCTCCTTGGCCTGAGCTCTCACTCAGGCTAGAGCAACCTTCCTAATTCGGTGACCCTTCAATACATTTCCTCCCGTTGTGGTGACCCTCAACCTTAAAATTATATTCATTGCTACTTCATAACTATAATTTTGCTACTGCTATGAACCATAATGTAAATATCGGATACGCAGGATAGCTGATATGTAACCCTTGTGAAAGGGTCGTTAAGACTTCCAAAGGGGCCGAAACCCCTTCACGGGTTCACAGGTTGAGAACCACTGGCTTAGACCCTGAGGTTAGCTTGGCTTTCAGTAAATTATACCAGCACATGGATAGCTTCCTCCCTTGCGTATTCCTGTCCCAATGTCACATTCAGTCCTGGTTGTGTTCTCTCAGGCCCAGGGGAACACCTGGTATGCTGACCTTATGTCCCCTGTTTGCACTTCTAATCTCACCCCTAAAACAAGTGAGTACCTGCGTCTGGGCCCTGCCTGCCTCTTCTCTCCTCTGCTCCGCTCCCTATGCACTTACAGTTGACTTTTCACCAAGTTTCTTCCCACCTCGGGGGGTTCTTTGTACTCAGGGCTCGTTCTCTCTCTCCTTTCTTCTTCCCCTCTCTCCTCCCCTCCCCACCTACTGTCCAGCCAAACCTTTCTCATTTCTCGGGCCTTCATCTTCAATGTCACTGCCCCAGGAAAGCTGCGCATCCCACTGTCTTTTGAGAAGCCCATTTCAATCATTCTTTGCGTGGGAGGGCTGGGACTGTTTTCTCTGCATGATAGTAAGCTCCGGAGATTTCACACTCATCTGCCTGACACTGTGAACAGCCTCGTGCCTAGGAGCACTATAAATAGCATGGAGAGAATGCAGGGGCTGGAGCGTGAGTGAGTCACACCGTCACTCCCGCTCTGCCACTCACTCACCTCCTCCTGTGTGTCTTGGGGGGTCTCTGCTGTGCGGCTGGCGGGGCAGCCCAGGTACTGTACATTAGTAACTGTCTATGTAGGTGGCCGTGAGGGGAGCCACAGGCTAGCAGTAGAGCCTGAAGCCTTCCCGTAGATTGAAAGCCAGCTGGCCGGCCTGATGAGCAGCCAGGGCCATTTTTCAATATATGCACTCATACATTCTCCTCCATGTGCTAAGTCACAGCCCAACGGCTCCTCTTCCTATGGCAGCACTCACCCACATGGGCCTTGCATGAGTTTCCTCTCTACCCCTTTCTTTCTGGGGTTGAAGGTTGTTGTTATTGGTGTGTGTGTGTGTGTGTGTGTTATGCTCACGTTCCTGTATGTTATCTGCTGCTATTTTTAGTCCCGGATCAAGTGTCTATCTTCTTTCTTTCCTTCTCTCTGATCCTAGTGTCTGGGTAATAATGAATGTCCAGGGCATAATTTTAAAACATGGCGGTGAGAACGCATGCTTGAGCATGTGAAAGGGAAGGGCAAACACCAGCCAGTCCCAGTAAGAAGCAGGAACTCACAGGTTAAGGCTGGACCAGCTCTAGTTGGTTCCGTCATTCAGGAGGCCTGTGGTGACCCTAGTGGCTATCTGGTAGATTGGTATCAGGCAGGGAGTCAGTGGAGCTAACTTCCCAAGCACCAGGTCATGTTTAAGAGTGGCCTCTTCACTGGACACCTATCTGCCACGTTTGGGGTCCTTCAAACATTCACATGGATGCTGTCATTCTTGCTCACTAACTGCTGTCATGTACTCTCCACCCAAGGCGTATGAGCATTGGTGACCTCTGCACTCAGCTCTCCCACACTAACTCGCTCAACAGAGCCACAAAATGCAGCCATGCACCTGCTCAGGAAGAAGGTGCTCGGGCTTGCCAGAGGGCAGCTCAGTGACATCTCAGGGGCTTCGTGGGGAAGCTCCTATCTCCCAGGGGGATATGCCCCGAGCCCCTCGGGGAGTACTTCCATGTAGCCTCCTGCAGGAATCCCAAGCCCCAAGGCCCCTGCTCCCTACAGACAGCCCTACTGTGATCCCTCCAGCGCTCACCTGGTCCGACTCCCACTTTGATGATATCTGCTCCAGAAAGAATGAGCTCTTCTACCATCTCTCCCGTCACCACGTTCCCTGCCTGTGACAGGAAGAACACAGCTCTCCATCACCAGAAATGACTCTTGGTGGGGGGAAGGGTACTAGGGTCACAGGATGATGGGGAGTTCACTCCTGACTCCAAGGGCATGTGTGTATTGAGGCTAACAGGGTTCCAGAAAACAGAAAGGAAACACTACACCCAATTCTGAGGTTGATTTCAGTCTGAGAATCAGTGAGTGTGTTCTGGCCTTCCTCTTCTACTAACTTCCAACACAGAAGCCGACAGCAGAGACCCCCTTTTGGGGAAGCCACCAGGGTGAAGTAATGACACGTGAAGCCACAGAAGTGAGAATTTTAGAAACAGGAAATCAATAGGGCTCATGGCACAGCTCTGGTCAAAACAAAATCTCCTACAGAACCCCAGATCCACAAGCAAGGAAACACACTCAGCTGATCAAAACCGTTAGTGGGGACACAGGCTACTTAGGCATCTGTGGAAAGCCGTGGAACATTCCTACAGATCCCAGAAGGCCACAGTTAGAAAGCTGACCTTTCATGGTTGAGAAAATACCCGAGTGTCTGGCCCCAGGGCTGGGGTTCCCAGCTTGGTACAAAAGGGCAGGCAGGCCCTCATGGGCCACATGCCACTGGCATAGGCTCTGTCGACAGATGGAGTGAAGCTTCAGCCCTAAGAATAGATGTGCAAGCCAGGAAGTGGCGGAATCCATCAACCACAAGAATGCATCTACGCTGGAAATAGTACAAGCTCTCTGACTGCAGGAGCTTGAGAGGGCAAAAATAGCCCTTTTATTACAACTCACTGCCCCATGGATCCTTCAGCTGGTACTCAGGATACTTGGCAAGATGCCCTGACTGGGTTTTCACAACCATGCAAAGTCATACGCATTTCTTGCAAAATGCATCCTTACTCATTCTACTCCCACCAGAGCCCAAGTGTCCTTTCACTGAATTAATTCCCTGAGAAAAATATTCTTTTTTTTTTTTTTTTAACTTATACAAAATAACCTGAACTCCATAGAACAGGTTGTTGGAAAGAGGTGACAAGGCCAGTTTGAAGCTACCTGAATATACGCAGCAGCTGCCAACAGAAAATGATGACAGATGTCACAGGTGGAGGTCTGGAGGGAGGTTAAAGGTAAAGCTGTTTTCTGGTAAATTCAGCTGGGTAAAGACAGTTGGAGTTATATATATGAAAATGGAACGCATGCAGGTAGATGATGCAATCAACAAACAGCCAGCAAGAGAAAAGCAGCGTAGCTATGACCAGCTAGAATATATGGAGAACTCAGAAGCTCCACTTAAAAGGAAAAAAAAAGCAATAAAAACAGAAAGAGGGAGACCTGGCTGATGTAATCAGGGAGTGTAATAAGAAAATTAATATGCCAGTGGGAGTCTACCTCTCACCTACCCAACCATCAGAGGTTACTGGACACTAAATCCTAAAAAGAAAACATCACCTCAACTCTCTCTGCTGGTGGGTTATCTGCTGTAGCCCAAGTTTTCCTGGAAAGGAGTTTGAACCTCAGAAGCTGCTTGTCGCTTGTTCCATGAATCTGCTACTCTCACCCAAGGAAGCCATCACAAGCATGGCCAAAGATTTAGACAGAAAGATGTGGTGCTCACAGAGGGGAAGCCTTTATTTCTCCAACGGGAATGGTTCTGCAGGAAATTAGGAAGACCCAAACCAGACAGAAGAGGATGAGGCCTAATCAGTCATAAAGGTAACAGGCAGACTTCCGGTTCCAAGTTTCCAGTTCTGCATGGATGGGCCCCTGGCCAGGGGAGTGAGGTGTGTGGGTAGGGAGGGGCTGGGCAGAGGTGATTAAGCAAAGATGCTGCTTTATGTCCCTTTGAAACAGTGGGTGCAGGCTTGAGGGTGTGACGGCCCATGGAAGCATGACAGGCCCCCGTCACTATGGTAGTTTGCTCACGCTCACTTCCTGGACAGCCATGACCAAACAAAAACTATGCGCCCTGAGCTGAGGCACTGGTGCATGCAGGAAGCAGTTCCTGATGAGCATCCCCCCTGCCCCAGTGCCCTGGCTTCCATCTGAAATGTCCCCAAAGCTCGTAGGCAGATGCTAGGTCCACACTGCAGCAGTACTGACCGATGGGACTTGGGAAGATGAGGATGCCACGGCATCAAGAGGTTCATCAATGAAGAATCCCTAACTTCATGAGCTCTCAGGAGGGGGTGGGGACTTCAGGAGATGAGGCCCAGCTGGAGAGGTGCATGGGGGTCAGATGTCTAAGGGCATGTCTTATCCCTAGCTTCGTCTCTGCTTCCTATGAAGTGTTTTCTCTCTGCTGAATACACTTGCCATAATGTTCACCTCAATGTACCTTACTTTTTCTCAGCTTTTGTCAGAAAGCAGACTAAATGGACCTGGCGAAGCAAGGCAAGTTCCATAATCAAGGCCCCAGTCAAAAAAAAACCTGAAGAGCTGAGGAAGTAGGATGACAAATTTAAGGCCAGTGTAGACAACTTGGTGAGTCCCTGTCTCAAAATTAAAAGTGAAAAAGATGGTTGGGGTGTGGCTTAGTAGAACATTCATCTAGTATGTTCAAAGCCCTGAGTTCCCTGGCCCAGGTCGGCAGCAGAATAAGAACAGCCCTTTTTAAGCATGTAAACCGTAGGTTCGATGCCCAGAACAAAAATAAAAATAAAAATAAAAAATAAAAAATAAAAATAAAAACGAAAGAAAGCAAGAAAGAAGAAAAAATAGTCATACTGAGTCTGTCTTAATCTACTGAAGGGAGTATCTAGAACTTTCAGCATGCAAACACTTGGGAATGGTTAGCCACTCCTCTCACCCAGCTCCTTGCTTCCCGTCCCCAGCTGGCCATAGGCAAACAGCAAAGAAGGACAGCGGGGTGTTCAGAGGAGCCCCCCCCCCCCCCCCCCCCCCCCCCCCCCCCCCCCCCCCCCCCCC